CAGAAAATAGAAGGGCTATAGAAAAAATCAACAAGACCAGAAATTGGTTCTTTGAAAATATCAATAAAATTGACAAACCACTGACAAATTTAACAAAGGAAAAGAGGGAAAGAATACAAATAACATGAATAAGAATGAAATGGGTAACATCACAACAGAACCAAATGAAATAAAAAGGATAATATCAGGAAACTATGAAGAACTGTACTCCAACAAATTTGAAAATCAAGAAGAAATGGAAAAACTTCTAGAAACATACCACTTACCTAAACTAACACAGATTGATGTGGAGAAGTTGAACAGACCCATCATAGAAGAAGAAATAGAATGAGTCATAAAAAAATTACCAACTAAAAAACGTACTGGCCCAGACAGTTTCACCGAAGAATTCTACCAAACATTCAGAAAAGAACTGAAACCAATCCTACTCAAACTATTCCAAAACATAGAAAAGGATGGAATCCTCCCTAACTCATTTTATGAAGCAAGCATAACCTTGATCCCAAAACCAGGCAAAGAGATCACTCAAAAGGAAAACTACAGACCAATATCCCTCATGAATATAGATGCAAAAATCTTCAACAAAATCCTTGGCAATAGACTGCAACAACATATCAAGAAAATCATTCATTATTACCAAGTGGGGTTCATATCAGGTATGCAGGGATGGGTCAACATTAGAAAAACAATAAATGTCATCCACCACGTAAATAAAACAAAGGAGAAGAACCACATGATCATATCAATTGATGCAGAAAAGGCATTTGATAAAATCTAACAGCCATTCCTGATCAAAACTCTCAGCAAAATAGGAATAGAAGGGACATTCCTCAACATAATAAAGGGCATTTATGCAAAACCAATAGCCAACATTATTCTCAGTGGAGAGAGACTGAAACCATTCCTCTTGAAAACAGGAACCAGACAAGGATGCACCCTATCACCACTTCTGTTCAACATTGTACTGGAAGTCCTAGCTAGGGCCATAAGGCAAGAAAGAGAAATCAAAGGTACCCAAATTGGTAAGGAAGAAGTCAAATTATCCCTATTTGCTGATAATATGATCCTATACCTAGAAAACCCAAGAGACTCAGTCAAAAATTTACTGTAACTAATTGAGAGATTTAGCATCGTGGCAGGATATAAGATCAACACCTAAAACTCAGTTGGATTCCTCTACACCAGCAAAGAGATTGCTGAAAAAGAAATAAGGAAATCAATACCGTTCTCAATAGCTACCAAAAAAATAAAATACTT